ATAATGCCGATGATGTACATGCATTGTTTCAATTCCCCAAAACACTGGAGAAATAAAGAGTTAATCCCTAGTTAACCACTTTGAGCCAAAAAGTAGCAGTTTCCTTTGGACCTATAAACCCTTACACTCAACTTGGGATATGGTAGTGTCTAATTAATCTGATTATGCACTCAAATCACAAAGCGAAATCCAAAAGACATGTCGGTTGCTCTTCAAAGACCCATGACTTGGCAGTCATAATCCTCCAACAAAATCAAAAATCAAAAGCCTACTAAGTCGAACACCTCAAAGGAGATTTAGGCAAAAATCAAGGCAATCCCGATGGACGCAAAAAGAAAAATCAGTCCATGCAAAAGTTAGGGATCAAAACAAAAAACAAAAGAGGTATTTGAATCCTTAACAAAAATAAAATAAGATCTAGTGGCTACCATATCAAAACCAAAGGGTCACTGACATCCATCAAAACAAAATAAGGTCATTGCCATGTCGAGCATACCTTGAATCAACATGCTTACACCGTCAACCCTTTTGGAAAACAAATATGTGCAAAATTAACTGAACGTAGGACTAGAGATCGTCACGAAGAAGGGGTGGGTACAAACCAAAAGTTGAGCCTTATATCCTATTTTTCATAAACCGTGAATGAGGCCACGTTACAACATTCGAAAGACCTAATTAAGGCGAGGTTTATTCTGAAAGCATACTATTGCAGGGTTGCGTAAATTGACTCCCAACAAATTTGCTAATCTTTAGCATTGGTGTCACTTTCCTTTTTATATCTTTCATCCCAGGAAAATTAGCACAACGTCTGGACTAACAGTCCATTCGCCTCACACTATCACTTCAATAAACGACTCTTTTTCAAAACTTGCATGAACTTTGCATTAAGATTACCATTTGCGAATGTGCAATGATTTGCGAATGGCAATCATTGAGGAACTTGAACTTTTAGTTGTGTCGACCAGAATCGAGGCTACCTCAATAGCTCAAACTGGGGCAAATCATTCAATAGCTCAATCAGGGGAAAGTCATCTCAAAGCAATCAAAGTTCAACTTCCAAAGATCAAATCACTCCAGAACTGGTTAATCAGGGGCAGACCATTACCATGCTCAGATTGGGGGAAAACGAGTTGCAGAAGGCATATTTTCTCTGTATCTTCAAATTGGTCAAGCATATCTTGCCAGACATTAATAATCATCAAGTCTAAATCAAAAGCACAATCATCAAGTCATATCTTGCCAGACATTAACAATCATCAAGTCTAAAGCAAAAGCATAATCTTCATGAGTCGATCACATCATTGCGCTCATTTTCAGGCTATCCTGACCATCAAGCAAAGTTGTGGTTCTCGTAAAACAAATTCACAACAAATCAACAAGTGATCAGACTTGGGACATCAAGAGCATCTTCGTCTACTTCGATCATGACGTCCTCAACAAACTGAAAGTTGAGGAAATCAAACCCTCCCACCATCCAAAGTCCAATCCGCATTGATAACTAACAAAATTCCATCATCTGGCACCTTCGAAACATATCCAATCACCCGTCTGCAATCATACGCATCATATGCATCACATTCAAAATCATAAGCATCATGTGCATCATATGCATACAAAAAAACCAAATCATACTTTCCCAGCACTTAAATCTCCGTGCATCAGCATTTGCATTGCACTTCCATGTGAGATCAAGGGTTGAAAATGATTGGAAATTCTGCAGTACTGAAATTTTAAATATTTTTGCAAATTGCGCCCGAGGTAATCGATTACCACATTCAAAAATTGCCAAACTTGATGCCATGTGGAGGGAAACTTGCGTAATCACCTATTGCCATCTCTTCTGATCCCCATTAAGCCTCTGAAACTTGCCCTTTGACATTCACCTGTAAAATGCCTGAAATAACCTGTGAATTGCCTCCTGTGCTCAAAATTACTTGCTGAATAAAATAAAATTGGTCGCTCGATCGCTGGGCAAAATAAATGCTTATGCCTCTAATGCTTACTGTTCTAAAAACTTGCAATAAAAGGAAACCTTGAGCCACAAAAACACATTGATCTCATGTCTCGAGAGCCAATGCCATGATATGCGAAATGCAGAGAAACACAAGTCAGTTACGGTTAAAACGAAAGGGCAAATTTTGGGGTGTTACAGCACTGAGCAGGGAGAAAACCATCAACAAAGGCCACAAGCTTGCCATAGCTGGCCCGATCATCCTCCCCCAATATGTGCGGATTGGCAAGGTAATCATCGGTCTCGCCGGGTAAAATGATCCCCGCTCCAACATAAGGGGAACTTCAACAACCTTTGCCCCTGTACCTTGCCCTGCTCGTCGATGATGGACTCCCCGCTCTCGTCTGTTGAAACCTCTCAGACAAATGAGGAGTCTTTGGCCCTCTGCGACACAGGCTCAACTATGTAAAACCTCTCCTTAAACGTCCTGATGGACTCGGAGAAAGGCCTGAATAACTTCCTCCTCTGCTTCAGGGAGACCCATCCGAACTGCCTCCCAACAACCTAGTGTGGAGATTGAAGACGGTGAAGAAGAGGGGGAGAATGGCTCCAATCTCCAAAAATTCACATGTTATCTCGAATGCCCGGACGAAGGCAATCGAGTTCGGGTGTAGTTGGGAGGGCGCCAAATATAGATATCCGAAAATTGCCACTTGAAAGTTCGTGAAAGGCAGCCTCAACCTGATCCCCTTGAAGACAAACTCTTTCATGGGGAATCTCTCCCCGTATGCCGAGCATATTCGATCGTTCTCCCTAGAGAAGTGGACCCTCCAGTCTCCCTCGGCCCCCACTACCGTGAAGGTATCTTGAGTGTGAAAAGAGAAAAGGGAGGCATGCTCCTAAGGCTCAAGGATAACCCACTCTTCCCAGGAACTACTAGGAGTGGACGTTTCGCCGACATTCCGGGGAGCGAAAACTTCATCAACACTGCTATCATCCGAAGAGCTCTCCTTGGACAACTCCCTCGTGACTTCATCCACGGGATCGTGAGACATCTCCTTTACCTGAAAAGCAGAGGACAAAAGTGAATTCTGACAACGTCAAATCCACCCTTCCACCGCTACTCAAGTGAAAGGACGCGCGAAGGCCCGAGGACAACGTCCTCGACCTAAGCCCTTACTCTAACAGCACAGCAACAGCGCGAGGAGACGCCTCTAGCAATCCTTCAAACCCACGCGGGGAGATCCTCCCCTGTGCGTTACCCAGAATTCTGTTGAGGATCCACCGGAAAACTCATGAGTACATCGGAAAACGCATAAGCTCCACCGGCAAAAAACTCACTCGTTGTCGCAACAGCGTCAGAATCAACAAAAATTCTAAGTTCCTAACACTCCAGCGACGGCGGCAGAAAATGGTCTAACCACCGCCGGCCACCAACGTTCGTCGGAAACCACCCCTACTCTACCCGGTTTCTTCCTAACCACATGCAAGCTAAGTTAAACAAGGATTGAAACACGTAAAATAGAAAGGGTGAAGAAAACTTATAAGGTCGAAGAGAAGAAAGGTTGGTCGGCGGAATCTGGACGTTGCTCGTGCGACGGCGTTACGGCGGCGGATGATGGAATCGAGGATAAGCAGCAAGAGAAGAGAGAGAAGCGAAAAGTGAAAATGAACGCTTTCTCCCTCTTTTTATAGACAGACCAGAGGCACGTGCACGAGCACACGTGGCGTAGGGGCATCATCATAACCCTAGCATAACCATCATTACGCATTAAATACAACACATGGCTCGATGCACACGTGGTACTCCATCCCGTCAAGTCCCATTAACCATTGAGCTCCCCGCTCGTCGGGCACGCAAGGAAACGTTCTGGGTTCCTCGGTCACAGGTGCCTTTGAGCACCACGAAACGACCTCATCTCAGTAACAGGCGTCGACCACGCCTACTCCTCCTCGGGACCGTAGGCTGCCCTTAAGTCATCACTTCTATGCTCAGGAGCAACGACTCGGGGGCTCCTATTCCAGACTGGCCCAATGGCTAGGCATGACCCAATCCACTTCTGCTCCTATAACGGCTCAATAGCCTAAGCCCTGTCAGTTAAGGACAAAGAGAAGCATTTTCTCCTCAGCCCCTATGTTGAGGAAGGCTGGCCAACTGACCCTCAGGATCAGCTGCCCCTCGTCACGCACGGTTCCACCATCCAAAAACAGTCACGACGCCCGTACCCGCGACAACGGCTACTTTTGAGTACCTCTGTTCATCGCAACGACTAGTTTTCGGCAGTTACCTATTCTTTGGGAGCAAATATCTCGCCCCGAAAATAGGGACCAATGGCCAAGCGCTGGGGACATTATAAAAACCCTCTCATTCGAGAGGGTCAGGTATGCTAAATCATTCTAAATCACATAAGACACACACTCTTTGTACTTGTCTTCTCTTTTCCTAATTTTTACTTTAGTATCGGAATGCCTTGCAGGTACACCTCCTCCTCATCTTTGAAACCCAGCATCGCAGACGATGTCTCTGACCCATCTCAGATTCTAATCCGCCGTCAAGACCAAATACACTTATAGTATTAAATAAATATATAAATCATATAATCAATCATTTTAATGTATGAGGTAAATTCGTATAAATAAAACACATTAATGTAGAAACTCTAGTTTGAAAACCTTACATAAATCTTTTCACAATCCACAATTATCACTTGATACACATTAGAAAAATAACGTGAATTTTCAATGTTATGACATCTAAAAATACACAACCAAAAACAACTATAGTTGAACTTAAAAGAAACTACATATAGTAAATAATATATTTTACATTAATTTATACCTAGCATTATAACACAATGCAAAGTTCTTGTAAGTTTTATTTCAACTATTCTCTAACTTTATGGATCTAACTACTATTACATAATCCTGATAAATGTGAAGGAACCTTTTCTACTACTACTACACTGGTTTGGTTCAAATGATTAACAACAAAAAAAACCAGATTTGCGATAACACCGACGATATTTAACTCGTAAATTGTTAATCATCATCAATCAACAATCTCAAGATTGTTCTCAAACTTGTGTATCTCTGACTCTATGGTCTTCGCAATATCCGCTTCTTCCTCGGCAGCAGGTTCTGGAAATTCTACATGAAACGATCCCTGCTTCATTGGTCCCCTAGCTTCGGTTCTCGATTGTTCCTTGATGTAGTTGTAGAGTTCTTGATGGAAAGGGTGATCCAAGGAATAACAATTTTCACTCCCACTTCCTGAATGTTTTGATGATCCCGAGCCTTCTTTTCTACAGAAATGCGGTAGAGATGCGTAGTCCATGATCTACGTAACAAAATTTAAGTGTATTAAATCCAACAAAGAACAATATATTAAGCATTTCATATAAGCTATAAGCAGTTTTCCTACGCTACCCGAAAGAGCTTCAGAAAATAAGTAAATAGATTACCTTCAACAGCTCATCTCGCCCACAACCTTGTAAGACTTGCACTTTTTTTCTAGTCCTCTCTTGTAAAAGCGGCTTCACAACCTGCGAACGCAGCGTGTTTAACATTATCATGAGGTTTCAATAGGTGCTAACCCGAAACCGATATAACAAGAAAATATCATAAAAAATCTGAGTCATAATGAATACTAATATCTTCTTACCTTCCAACAACCTGAAAATATGTACGGTGCGTTTACAATGTAATAAGTATTTGTCTTCTCGGGGTAGTTCAGATCATCAATCGATGAAATTATTGTTAATAGCTGCAACATCGACGCCAAAGACAACTCAGTGATGCAGAATATATTCCAAAATGATCTTAATCTGATTCAACTAAAAAATACCTTAATCTGATTCAGAGCTGATAGCTTCAGACCGGTCATATCCAAAACCTTTACGCATGTAGTGATAGGGCGCTCGTGCTTCTTCGACGCGGAAGGCTACGAGCATATACGAGTCAAAATAAACAAAAGAATGGAAGCTAAACAAACAGAAAAGTTATGTGAGTAAAGAATATTGGTAGACTTGAATGATTGATAATACTCACCAAGACTACACGATCACGATATTCATTAATTTGAATGTGAGACTGAACATAATAATGGACCTGCAATCAAAAAACGCACAAGTATTGGAATATATATGAACAAGAACACAAATACGAGACATTAAGATAAAGTAGTAAACAGTGTGTTAAAGAAACTATGTTTCTTTTCCCCTTTCTAATTATCGAAACTTACAGATGCTTTGTCGAATGTGCTAAGTCCAACACCGATTGCAAAGACAGGAAGACCCTGAGAAAGGTAGCGGAGAAAATCAAAATTTAAGAGAGTAAATATCAAGTTAAGTGATTTTGCAAAATACAAGACATGTGCACACGCACACGCACACTCATACACGCAACAAAGTTTTGGCACCCTAAACAAAAATTCATATGTTTTCAAAACTTTCATTGGTTTGAAGAAACCACAATTGTGGAAAATATTAAAGGAGAAAAGTGTGCAAATTCATCAGTATAATCACAACTTTAACAACCTTGGATATATTATAATTTGAGCATTTAGACAAAACAAACACTTTTGAGCACATGAACAGAGAAAACATTAAGTTTGACGAGTACCTCACGTGAGTACCCCGACAATCCTATGAGCTGAGAATCGCGCACACCTCTATACAAATCTGGAGGGATTATTGGTTTCTGAAAATGAATCGCAAGATAAGCGTCAAAGGTAAAGAACTCATTGTCATTTACAAAATATTATATATGGTAACAAGATTTTGCCAATGATAAATATATAAACGCATTGGAACAAAATCTAATAAAATGTATCACAATCAGGATAATCTATCGATACTTACAAGAATCTAAGTTCTAAAATACTATATGAATTTCCAAGTAGCGGTTCTATATCAAAACTTACCGATAATATTTTGTCAATCTCATTTTGCACTCTCCAGTTCAAACTCTCAACCAACTGAAACGTTAAAAAAAACAATCAGATTTCAGATATCACAGTCAATTTACTAAACAAAACATTTAGCAAAAACAAACCATTTTATGAGCCTTTGAAGCATTCCATTCCCTGGCTTTTAGAAACCGAATCAACGTTTCGATTACATATCCTTGATGAACATTCTGCAAGTAACAGAAGCTAATTAGGTCTCTCACCAAAGCAGTGGAAACAGTTACTAACAAATTTCCAGATCTCACCAAACCATTGATTCCAGAAACAGCAAAAAACCAAACACCAATTATAATATTTCAGTAAACAATTACACATAAAACAATTGAAGCTTAAGATACTTCAAACTTCCACAAAATCAGATCTCATTCAACTTATCACCATGAGCAAAATATCCAAAACAAAGAAATGCTGAAGAACCAAACTAATCAAAAACAACAATAAACCATGTTGTCACATAAATTTCGATAGCTCCTAGGTTCCAAAGACAACACTAACCTGAAACGTTTTCTGAAGTGGCTCCTCAACTAGAATCAATGAAAAGAAAAACAATTAAAAAAAAGGAGAGAGAGAAAAAGGGAAAATAATAAAGGGATTAGGGAGTACCTTGATCTACAAGAGCCTGGAGTTGGTTAAGGGCATCCTGTGAAACAATCCCCATTTTTTGAGAAAATTAAGAAAAGAAAAACAGAAAAACAGAAACCTTAGATTAGATTTAATTTGTTGATGTTGTGGGATTTGTTGTAGCTTAAGGTTGGTTCAGTGAGTTGTTTCACTGTGTTTGTTTCTGTGAAAGACACATGACAGCACAACAGAGTAGATGAAAAAAGGGACAATATCTAAGGTTATATATACTCATATAGTGAGTGAATGCCCTTACAACTTTTTGAGATACTTGAGATTTTAGTTAACCCCACTTCTACTATTTTTCCCTCTTTAATTTTGTTTTTAAATATTTCATATTCACTATTTTATGATAATAATAATATAAAAAAAAAAGTTACATTTTTTTTTGGTGGTTTTGAACTTAGTCAAAATGTTAGAGAATCACTGATTATGATAAAATATGTTATAGATATGTGTGCATTCTCTTAAATATAAATAAAAGTAATTACTTTTATGCATGCATTAAGAATAATGGTTAACTTTATTTCATAAAATCAAGTAGATGATGAATTCATGGGTTAAGATTGGCATTTAAAAACATGATTTACATGAGATTTATAATATATTGATGTAAAGAACATGAGAGTTTTTTTCTACTAGCTAGTGAATCAATAATGTATGTTGCATTAAATTATCTAGAAATTTTACTTAGGCTTCCAAATTACTCTAAGAATATATGCATCAAGAAAGAAAATGTAAGGAATATAAAAGTCAAGAGGCTATCTTTGAAGTATAAAAGTATATCTTGTTGCAAATTGGTTTCACATAACAAGTGACTACACGAATCACGATCATGCTCCACCCTTTGAAGTGGCTATCACGACTAGTTAGAAATCATGCACTTTATTTACCAAAATTAACAAAAAGTAATTAAAGAAAAAACAGCAAAACAAATTAAAAGTTAGTGATTAAAAGCACGTGTCAAAATACCTTTAGACTAACTAATATAGCTCTTTAATTACTTTTGCCAAAAAAAGTTATAGGTTTGAAATTTTATGTAGCACAAACAATAAGATAAATCTTGTTTAGTATACAAGTTAGTTTATATACTTAGATTAATAAATTTTATTTTTATTTGAATAGAATTTATTAAGATTTATTGATCCAATTATGAAAACATGCTTCTACATGTTAAACGAATATGTATTGCAAGAATATGAATGTTATTTGTGTTGTTTTTCTAGATGTTAGAAATTTTAGTGTGGAAGGGGGCTTTATGGCTTTTAACGCGTTTTCGTCCCAAAGTATCCAACATTTAGCCATCTTTGGTTTATGACATGTAAAAGGATACTATGGAGTCATCTGAACTTTTTTTATGGATCGTTTATTATATTAGATAAGGTCAAAATGTTGCCAAACATTCATATTTCGTATACAATTTCTCAAATTAAGTAAACAACCAACATCTAAGTCCACTTATGTTTCCTTTTTACATTTGTAGGACGTGGTGATTGGAGTGGAGGTTAGTGATAATGATCGATAAAAATGACTAATTAATATTTATAAGAATGATAATTTATAGTAATCAGAATGATGAATAAAGTGATAATCGATGGTAGTGATTGATAGTTAGATTGATGATCAAAGGGGAATAGGGTAAAGATTGGTAATGGTTAGAGTGGTGGTCGACGATGGTCCATGTCGCTATTGCGAAAATAAGGTGCCGGTAGAACAGAAGAGTCGCCACCTTTTGTTATTTATTCCACAGAAGGGAAAGGAAACGATCAGAACAAACTTAGCGAGAAGGTATAAGACAAGGTCATCGCAACCATGTCTGGGTTCGGGAGTCGGTTACGCAAGGGGAAGGTATTAGTACCCCTCACGTCAGTTGTACTCAACGGGATCCACGCTTGTTGTGTTTATCTGACGGGTTGGTTTAACTATCTACCTATCAAGGCTGGTTCAAAAGAAAAGAAAATTGACTCGGCAAAGCATCGCGCTCCGTGCCTACGTATTCCCTCGTGCAATGGGAAAGTTAGAGTCAACGTAGTTCGGCTAACTACGGGTAAAGGGGGAAGGTTGCTCGACAAGACGTCGCGTCTTGTGCCTACGTATTCTCATCAGAGAAATCAGAGCGAACGTAGTTCGGGTAACTATGGGTTGATTCATTTGTTTTTCCCGAGTAAAGTTAAACAACAGTTTCAGCAGTTAGGGACAATGCCTGTTTGCGGTAGAACAGAAGTTTAACAACACTCTTTTCATCAGAAAAGGTTTTCCTTGAATTACGGGCCCACGGGGCAAAAAGAGGTTTGAAGTTTGTTTTTGAGTCTTTTACAAAAGAAGTGTTTTTTATGAATGTTTGTAATTCGTACTGCACTAGAGACTATGACTTAGGAACGAATGCATCACATATCGTCCAAAGGACGTATACTAAACACTCTAGACGATTGAGAGGAGACCGCTTAATTATCATTTCCCAAATGGCTTAAGGCTCATAACGTATAGTATGAATTTGCCTTTATTACGTATTTTACTGTTGTTTTGGAGATGAGAAGGAGAAAGAACTCTACAGGGGAAACTATCGAGCATCCTACTGTTGTCATACAATGGATTCATCCTATTGTTGAGTTTGAAATAGGGAACTCCTAGATGTTATCATGCAAAGGTTTCAACCTAAAAGTCTATCATCACTATCTTTAAACAAGGAAGTGAGAGCCCTAAGGGAACATGTTAAAGGGGAAACAAAAATAACAAAAATTATTAAGCAGATGAATACAGCTATCAAGCTACTGAAATAAGAACATGTAAATATGTTATGCATCAGCACAAGCAGAAGGAGGAAACCTCAACTTCTAATGCAAACATAAAATAAAAAAGAACACACAAGCAAGGGAGGATCACCTCAACCTTCAATGCAGTCATGCACCTAAACAAAAGTCTCTAATCATGCAAATCTATCCTAATGCAACAAGCAAATCAATCAAACAGGGAGGAAAAGTGTAACCAAAATGAGCAACAGGGAAATTATCTCAGGCTACGTTAGGCTGGATGTGCATCAACGCAAGAGTCCATCATAGGCTCAACCTCCTAAGGAATGCACATAATCCAACCAAAGGAAGGATTAGGCTCTCCCAAGAAGGATCCTATGTCAATAGGACAGAGAAACCAAGTGTTGGTCCTAGATGTCAATCTAAGGTATTTGGTTAAGGTGTATCAACACAGAATGTCCATCTAAGGCTCAACCTGTTGAGGAATGCACATAATCCAACCAAAGGAAGGATTAGGCTCTCCCAAGAGGGATCCTAAGAAAGGGACTTGGAGAACGAAGATAGTATACACCAAAGGAATATACTATGCCAATGAATGTTAATCCAAGGCTCAACCTCTTGAGGAATGCATAGAATCCAACCAAAGGAAGAATTAGGCTCTCCCAAGAGAGATCCTCATCAAGACTTGAAGGAGGAAGATAGTATAAATCAAAGGAATATACTATGCTAATGAATGTCAATCCAAGGCTCAACCTCTTGAGGAATGCACAGAATCCAACCAAAGGAAGGATTAGGATCTCCCAAGAGGGATCCTCATCAAGACTTAGGGAAGGAGGATAGGGCAAAGCCCAGGAAAGAAACCACACAGGGGAAAGAAGCCATCACAGAAACTTCTAAGAAACCCTAATGATTAGTTACAAGGATCACCTAACCAAATGGATTTAGAAGCTCTATCAAGGCTTAACAATTGTTTTAAATAGGTGTCTACCTATGCTCTATTCTATCAAGAAGGAATTAGAAGCCTAAAGTTAGCTAAGGTTCACCTTAGAAACTAAACTATGAGGTAAGCTAAACTAGGATCACCCTAATCACAATCAACTTGTAAATTCTAGGAAAAATGCTAAAATCAGTCCTAAAAGTCTATGAAAAATTCTAAGGCTTCCCAAGTGTGTTAACGAATTATGGTACAAAAACCAGAGCCAAGACCTAAGTCTAAAGGTTCTAAACAATTTCTACACTTAAAGGTACGCTTAAGGGAATCCACAAGGGGAAGGTCCTAGAAATCTATCTCAAACCTATACCTAAAAGTTTCTAAAAAACCAAAAAAAAATCATACAACTCTATCAAAATGTCTAAAGCAATCATGCAAAAAATTAGAACTAAATTCAAATCCATGAGCTAGTACAAAAATCAGAAAGAAAATCATGCATTTTTAACATTTTTAATCATCTAATTAAAATGAAAAAAATAGCAATAAATGGAAAATTAGCCAAAAATTCAATTAAATTGCATACAAAAATCAGGGACATGCCAAAGATCATTCATGATTTTTCTCATATTTTTCTAACAAATATTCCTATTTTTAATGAATTAAAAACAATTAAAGAATAAAAGAAAAAAGAAAAAGAATTAAAGAATTTGAAATATGCTGGAAAATAACGTGACCATCAAATCAATATACCAGTCAATCAATCCTAAGGGAGGGGCGGGTGCCACGTAGCAAATTGAACCACTAAATGAAACGCCGCATTTCATTAAACGGGCTGAAACCAAATCGTGGCCACACAAGCAGCATACCAGTCCACCCATCTAAAGTTCCCTAATGCGCCACGTATGCTGATCAACTTCAGTTCAAAATGAGGCCAAACGAAGGTCACACGATGATGATACCGGTCAAGGCTTTCAACCAGATCAAACGGTCACGATTTGAACTGGAGGTTTGGGGGGAACTAAACCAGACGGAGGCGAACGGCGACCGAACTTGCTCCGGTCGTCTTCAACCTCAAGCTCAGTGAACAATGCGCTGTTCTCAAGCCTCACCAAACTTAACAAAAATTATACTAATCTCTTCTTCTCCTCACGCTGGTCACGATGGCACTCTTCATTTCCAATTTTATCCAAGAACCATTCTAAACTGAAGCCCTAAAGAAATGGCACCACATCAAGAATCATCACAATCAACCACGATTTCAATCCTAAAATCACCTAGGTCACTCCAGAAACCTAACCATATGTCTATTCTAACCTAATCGTGTATAAATTAAGAGCAATGGTGAAGGGAAGAAAC